TTCTCTCCGCTGGCAAGTACATTTTGATTTGTCTATCATATTCCATATTATGTATTCATAATAAGGTTATCAATAGCAATAAGATATGTAAATATAAGTACTTAATATAACTTATATCTGTACAAAATATTCTCAATCATCGTTATTTATCTGGTGACACGTTTTCTTTCCAAATGACCATTGATGACGTTTTTCTAAGTTTATTTTCTACATCGAGGAAAAAGTCCGAACATTTCAATTATTATACCTAAAAGAGATTCCAGAATCAAACAAATTCATATTAGATTTCTCGTGTTAAACGTGCACCCATATGCTATCGGCAATTGACATCGTGTATATCCAGTGACGCAGGAATGTGCAAATAACGCAGGGTTTGTGCAAAAGTAACGCAGAATTGTGAAATTTAGTGGCAAAACGAGCACCGCGATAAGTAAATGGACCAACATTTTTCTTTGTATACCAAATTGGAAGAAATGAATTTGCGCAACCTCATCAAAAATAAGTCAATGAAAATGTTTATTTTTCAAGATCATTCGTGAAAATGACGACCTAACTAGCGTATTGATGGAGATTTTTTAGTTTCGTTGACATACATAATACTTCATGATTTTTCTGTATATGCGGTGTACCGGAGACATTTTCCAATCTACTCGTGTCATATTACACTTAATTTAGCATATAAAACGTAATTGAGACAATTTTACGAGGTAACGCCGAATTCGTGAATGAAGCGATGAAGCAACAGCGGTTATCTCATTAAAAGTAGCAAAATCTTATTTTACCAGCTTCCTCCTATTGTTATACGACACTTGTAGTAGTTTGAATATGAAAAACATATTTAAAAGGGTTAAATGTATACATATTTATTTGACAAAACACAAAATTCAACTTCTTAACGGTAATCAGGTTGACTTTCTCACGAATGATCTAAAGAAGTAAACATATTCCTGAAAAAAAATGTAATGCTGGTTAAAGTATAATGTCGTAGCAAGCCGTATTCGCTAATTAATTACTTTAAATTTGATTAAGAATAAAATATTTTGGTTCGTTAGTCGTTTTGGCAATAGCGTTGCACATATTCGGCGTTACATTTACGTTATTTGCACATTCCTGCGTTATTGGATATGCACGATGATTGAGGTGACCTCTAACCGCAAGTGCGATACAATTTCTATATAATACATGTATATAAGGAATTTTCATTTATACTTCCTTGTTAAATAAAACTGTTGTAGTTCAAAGATTTTAGATACATTTTTTTATTAAAGGCACGTCATGCCTCAGAAATAAATAAATGTTTACTTCTTAAGAAAGGAAAGGGCAAAAATGGATTTTATAATTGAAGTAGAAAAAAAGTTGTCATAAAAGAAGCAAAATGTAATAGTGTTTTGACTTCAATACAAAATAATAAATCACTATAACTGTACTTGTTGCCAAAAATTAAGCAACAGATGAAAAAGTTCAGCTAATTGGCCAATGAGTAACTTTTTGGATATTATAAAAGATACACCAAAATTAAAAAGCTTTTGAGAAATAAAAATAAAAGCATTTCTGAGGCATAATGGGCCTTTAAGAAAAATAATCAAATAATAAATCAGCAGCCTACACATGAGGGGTCGTCTGAAACAAAAATATAATATGGCTAATAACTTTAAATAGAACATCCAAGTTCGGTAAGTATTTAAGGAAAATGTAATATGCAAACACTTCAAAATTCATAAACAGGATCAATGACCATATACATGTAAGAATGGTTATATCACTTCAACTTCAAGTTTCATTATTCATAAAATGCTACCTAGCTAATGACACAAACCAGAGACTGCATCCTAAAGCTCCGTGTGCAAACAAATGTACATGGTGCCTGTCATGTGTGTTTTCACAATGGTGATTTTGGTAAATATATATGTTATTAACTGTAAATCATAGCATTCGTTTATGTGTCGTTTATGTGTCATTTGTTTTCAATATGTTATAAATTAAATTATTTTTGGCCTCCGTGCCAATAATCACGTACTCCAAGTTTATTACTCCGCAGTCTGTGTATTAAAATTACCAGTACACACACTGGCCATAGCTTTCGCAGAAGCGGTGGGTCTATCGCAGCGGCGGTGTAGTATTCGTCGCAGAAGCGGTGGATAAAATATGGCCGTTTGCTGTTGTCGGTAAGTATATGACTGAATTTTGTTTTATGTTTTAATGTTTTACTGGAAACACTCAGTGAGGCTGGAGCCCACATATGTACTCTTTCAACCTATTACACGCACACGGTGCAATTCTTTGCCGTTTATGCAAACACTTCTGTACAGTTTGATGAGGGGACGCCACTTTTGCCTAATTTTGGTTAAAACACATACAAATGTGTGCAAAACGACCCCATAATAAATCGGTATCACATCGAATGAATGATACTTTCACAAATTAACCATAATTTGGAAAATTGGGAAATTATTATTGCCTGTTTATAAAATAAATGACAAAAGATGTTTTCGTCGCAGACTGTGGTGGATTCGATTGCAACGCAGTGCGGTGGACCCGATACCATTTTTGTATATTTTAAGAGTTTAACTTGACGTAACGCACTTTCCAATTGAGTACGGTTCTTTTCTTACTTTGACATCTGAGAAACGTGTTTATTTGATGTTTAAAGCGATATTAATTATTATATATACGCTCGTACAAATATATGTCCGAGGTCCGCTTTCATTTTCCTTCCATTGAAAATTTCTTCAGCCATAATTATCATAGAATAATCCACGTTCAAAAAATTATTGCGGGTTATAAGTATCAAGTATTTTTGAGTGTGAATGCACCATTCCAGTTGAAAAGTGCAGGAAATTAAGAACAAATAAAGTGCCCTTTATCATATTTGTATTTCCAAGTTCATATTAGTGATCATGCATTTGACAACCCGGACCGTAGAGGAAACGGCGGAAACTTAGAGTCATAATATTTGACCATGATGCACCATCGAAAGAAAATTTAGCGATGTGCAGGGAATTCCACAAATGTGACGAATCCAGCCAAAAGATCACATGTGTCAGACATTAACATGTTACACGTGATCACGTGTTATACCTTATAATCAATGCCGATTTCTGACTTATTGAAAGCGGCATGGCAGGGATATATATATATATATATATATATATATATATATATATATATATATATATATATATATATTATATATATATATATATATATATATATATATATATATATATATATATATATATATATATGCATATATTTTTTCATAACGGCATATGAGTTATAAAAACATAGTTAACACATATTCATGGCATTTTCGAGAGTATCCAATTAGTTATAAAGATTTTGAAAAGCTTTACAATATGGCCGTATATAAACGGTTGTTTGAAAATATAGTACAAAAACATACAATTTCTTATTAAATAAACAGCAATCGTGTATATAAATATATAAACTTTATAATACTGCATGTTTGTAACGTAATTTTTCATTGGAAAATCGAGACGTCTATTTAATTATAGAGATTTTTGGTTTATTTGTAACTTTATTTTCTGATTTTTACACACATGTACAAGTATTATAAAAATTTCGATAGCTATTAATATTGCGAACAACCGTTTATATACGACCATATAATTCCTGTTGGATTTATTTATAACGAACTCATAATACATCAAGCATATTTGTTAGAAAAAAATGAGATAATTTCATAAATCGACGGCAGCCATGTAATTAAAAAGTACATTGTATGTATATAAACGTCACGATTATCCATTGGAAAGTGACGTAACAAACGTGTTGTATTTTTCCTTAATTGTGGTTATTTCAAGGTCATATAACTTAAATGTAAGTCTGAAAAATCTTTTTTTCTCCCGCTTGTTATGTTCTTCACTATATTTGTGTAAAAGATTTAATTCCATAAAATATTTCTATTACCTTTTTTTAAATTTCATTTCATACTTTAAAATTCTTTAAACATATACCATATTTGGAACCATTTTTTGTTCGATAAATGTCACAATTTAAGAAAAAGAAGAAAAACTAAAGCTATTAAACGCGTAGGTCTTAACAAAAACGTAATAGAGAAAACTTTTCCTGAAATAACTTTTACGCTGTAAACATAAAATTTATTTTAATTGGTGCTCTCAGTATATGGTAATATAATACAGTGATTTTAAAAACTGAGGCTGTTTTTCGTATTCAAGAAGCATGTTCTGTTTATCTGTAGGAGTATCTCTTATATGTCTGTATGACAAAAAAATGTTCAACCTGGAACTTACGGTCTTTTTAAGTCCAATGTTGAACGTGGATTATTCTATGATAATTGTGGCTGAAGTAATTTTCAATGAAAGGAAAATGAAAGCGGACATCGGACATATATTTGTACGAGCGTATATATAATAATTAATATCGCCTTAAACATCAAATAAACACGTTTCTCAGATGTCAAAGTAAGAAAAGAACCGTACTCAATTCAAAAACGCGTTACGTCAAGTTAAACTCTTAAAATATACAAAAATGGTATCGGGTCCACCGCACTGCGTTGCAATCGAATCCACCGCCGTCTGCGACGAAAACATCTTTTGTCATTTATTTTATAAACAAGCAATAATAATTTCCCAATTTTCCAAATTATGGTTAATTTGTGAAAGTATCATTCATTCGATGTGAAACCGATGTATTATGGGGTCGTTTTGCACACATTTGTATGTGTTTTAACCAAAATTAGGCAAAAGTGGCGTCCCCTCATCAAACTGTACAGAAGTGTTTGCATGAACGGCAATGAATTGCACCGTGTGCGTGTAATAGGTTGAAAGAGTACATATGTGGGCTCCAGTCTCACTGAGTGTTTCCAGTAAAACATTAAAACATAAAACAAAATTCAGTCATATACTTACCGACAACAGCAAACGGCCATATTTTATCCACCGCTTCTGCGACGAATACTACACCGCCGCTGCGATAGACCCACCGCTTCTGCGAAAGCTATGGCCAGTGTGGTACACGTAACAATGTCAAGTCATGTCTAAATTCAGTTTTAGTATTTCTTATCATTAAAAATGTAACGAAATGCGTTTGGATTGAGGAAAAGAATTAGATCAAAGCATGGCATACATTTTAGTGAAATTATTTTAAACTGGTGGTCGTTGTTAAAAATCATTTTAAACAGTCAGATGGAAAGTTTTAGAGTTTTGCAAGAAAACTTTCAACTGAGTGGTAATATTCTTTATGTCTTTACATTTTTTTTGTTTACATTTAACACTTTAAAATGAAAGTGAACATTGTTGCCGACCTCGAGATTTCAAGATGATAACATTACATTACAAATGATTCGTCATTATATTATAACCGGAATTCAACTTCCGGTCAAAACAAAACAATGAATTTGGAACTTTTAGGTATTATTTTTACATTATTAGTAGAGGAATTTAAATGAATGCAAAACCAAGAGATATAAATTTCTTTTTGTTAATGCGTCCAAACAATTTCAAGTTCAGAATCAAATTTACAGAGTGGTTAATCGTTTCATAAATTTTCTGATAAAGGCTGTTTTGGTGGGTGGGGTATCAAAATTTTTTAAATTAGGCGGCAATCAATAACACGAATCTTTGAAACATTTTCAGATCGAAATTGCTGCGAAATAGAGAATATTTCATATTGTTCACTTAAAATATTTTTTTAAGTTTCGCAATACGTTTCGCAGTGGAAGTGTCTGGTTATGAATATTGCTATTGTTAGGCAAAATTACTAAATTACATGTAGGTGCCAATATAATACACTGACTGACAGTTTATGAACAAGATAATGACAGGCCATTCTTATCAGTAAAATTGCTAGTAAAGATAACCAGTTGCGTATCTCATTGTATAACTATAAATCGTATGTTAAATGGTCAGACTTGTGGTAGGTTTAACTTTAAGTGTACATTTAACAGTGTTTAAATACCTTTAGCATCAAATGATGTGTTGAAATATATACTGAAGCGAAGCTAAGATCACAAGTTTTTCATTGAATTTTAAAATCGGACATTAAATCATACTAATCTAAAGATTTTAAAAACGACTAAATTTGTATTGTTTTAGCATTAGAGATATGGATTTTACTGGAAAATAAAGGAAATAGCTCGTATTTTTCACTCAATATACCTTGGTTATTTATGACATTCATATAGAGACTGTCAATGGGTGCTTTTATCCCCTTATTACATGGTCGTTAAATCGTATATTTCCCCAGTTTAGCTCTCACCCCCAAAAACCATGATGTGCAGGAAAAGATAAAATTGATATAAGCATATTTTGCGTACTGTATATAAATAAATAGATGCCTTTCAAATAAAATGGGGAGAGGGAAGGTCCAGAAATGAAGTGAGACAGGTACAGGCAGCCTTGCTGTTGGGTTAACCTTGTTGTTGTGTGTTTTCTTGTAATCAAGAGTTCCAGGTTCAAATTCTAGTCAGTGCCTGAGTATTTTTTTAGGTTTATAATACTGGCAACACATTTAAAACAATCTAGTACCTTTTTGTGCCCAAGTCCAGACAAAATTGTTGACTTTACAAGAGACAATAATTTGCGAAGCTGTTAAAGAAATTATAACATCTAGGAAAACACAATCCAGCCAGCATAAAAAATCAGATGTGTATATTAAACACTTGATTTATGAATTATTAATTGTTAAAAGAAATTAAGATGATATCATTACAAACACCTGCACTCTATCTGCTTAAAGGTTTATAACCAAAATTTCAAGGTAATGGTTACCCTAACAAAAATCTTTATTCTTACTAAATGTGTTGTTTTAATCACAGAATTAAGTAGGCCTTTTCATTAGTAATGTAATTTTAGTATGATTATAACATGTTCAATGAGAACAAAATGTCAATAAAATAGTATTATTATTTAAAAAGTTTACAAACAAAGAAGTTCATTTAACATGATGAATATGTTTCCAGTTAGTAGGATGGGGCATTTAAGTTGGGCCAGACTTCTAAGAGAATGTTATGATGTCAGATGAGATTTTATTTTATTGGGTTTTTACTTTATAAGCATATATTTCTGGGATTCTGTTAATTATATGCTCTTTTTAAAATCTGCCTTGCAACATAAACTTATATATTTTATCAAAAATGTGTTAGGTCAGGATGTATAAACTATTGGATATTACAATGCTGTAATAAAGTATGTATCTAATACCAATAAATGTCATAATTATATTATAATTTATATTGTATTATTAGTCCCCTACCGGTTTACCGGAGGGGACTTTAGGTTTACCCTCCGTCCGTCTGTCTGTCCGTCAGTCCGTCCGTCAGTCCGTCCGTCCACGAAACTGGATCCAGCGATAACACAAAAAGTACTGAAAATATTTTAATGAAACTTGGTATATGGATAGATGGCAGTATGGAGATAATGCACGTCCTTTTATTTTCTTCCTATGTTGAAAATTCTGGTTGCTATGGCAACAAATAGACTGAAAATATGGCAAATTTTACACATAACCTGGATCCCGCAATAACGCAAAAAGTACTGAAATTTTTTTTATGAAACTTGATATATAGATAGATGGCAGTCTGGAGATTATGCACGTATTTTTCTTTTTTTCCTATGCTGAAAATTCTGGTTGCTATGGCAACAAATAGACTGAAAATATGGCAGATTTTACATATAACCTGGATCCAGTGATAACGCAAAAAGTATTGGAAATATTTTTATCAAACTTGACATATGGGTAGATGGCAGTATGGAAATTATGCACATCCTTTTCTTATCTTCCTGTGTTAAAAATTCTGGTTGCTATGGCAACAAATAGACTGAATTTCAAGATTTCTGATTCTAGTTTTAAAGTTTTTTCACTATAAGTTCTTTATTTCTAAAGGTATTTTCTTCAAACTTTAAAAATAAGTTGCTAGTCATCAACCACATCATATGTGACAAAGTTTACACCTCTAGCACAAAATTTATCAGAATTACCTCCCTTGAACTTAAAATTTTCATGAATAAAAAAAACATTTTTTTTTTAATAACTACTTTTTTTCTGAATGTATCTACTTCAAACTTCATATAAATGTTTCATATTATCACTCAACATTTGTGAGTGTTCAATACTCTAGCAAGACTATTTCCAGAATTATGCCTTTTTTGAACTTACACTTTTTTTTGAGAAATTGGTAATTTTTACTCCAACTTCTTCAATCATGATAGAATTTTCTTCAAACTCCAACATCATTATAATATGACAAGGTTTATAAATCTAGCATCCATATTTCCAGAATTATCTCCTCTTTAAACTTTTAATTTTTCCTATTTGTTCTTTTAACTTTCATTTACTTCAATTTCAAAATAAATATTCAATATTCATACCTTCATTACTAATTGTTCTTTGTTACACTCACATCATGTATGACATCGTTATCTCCTTTTTTTTTAATTTTGCTTTTAAAATGTTATATTTTGATAACAGGGATGTTTAAAAAATAACTTTAGACTGTCCTTCAGTCCGTCTGTCTGTCTGTTCACTTTTAAAGAACTTTTTCAACAAATTTACTTAAAATAGAAACATAAGTGAATGGCCAATGGCCCTTCAGAATGTCGCTTGGGCTCTTACCGGTAGGGGACTTATGGATTGCTTGCAATATTATGATAATTGCTTGTTATCATTATTATATATTTGTATTTTTCAGAATCATTTGGACAAAATTATCCTGAGGTATGCTACATATACATGTATATTATTTACTTAATAATTTGGTGAAAGATAAAGTAAGAAAACTTTAACAGATCTTAAAAAAAGTTATGCATTTTTGTAGTTTTATAACAGGTATACACATTTATTTACACAAATGTATGTCTGTAATGTTTATAATTTGTTCCCACATAACTTTAATTTCCAAACATTTTGTAATGTACTGTACCAAATTTTGTAAAATATGATCAGATTGAATACAAGAAGTTGAATTATTGTTCAGATATTTTGATAGGTAACAGTTGAGTATGATAAATGTTGGGCATCCCTCGTAGTTTATCAAAGTGGTTTATGCGGACAGAGTGACTGTTATTTGTCTATACATGTAAATCAGATATAAAAGGTATAAAAAGAATATAAGCAATACATAACCGAGGAGCTGAGACTAAAATAAATCCAGACAAATTTAATTGATGCATTATGAGATGGTGACAACAATTATTTCTTCATTTCTAGGATTTTGATGGCACATTAGACTGTGTTAGTATTGCCATCACCTGTGCATTTAACAGACAGGGAACCATTCTAGCAGTAGGATGTAATGATGGTAGACTGGTTCTTTGGGATTTCCTAACACGTGGCATAGCTAAAATCATTAATGCTCATGTACACCCAGTCTGTACTCTAAGGTAATTCATGATATATATTTCATATTAAGTACTGCTGTTATATTGTAATTTCAAAAAAGGAAAGTTTTCTTAAGAGCAATTTATCTGAAAACAAATACATGCAAATACATCAAATTTAGAAAATCTAGCCCCCTGTTCCCTTTAAGAGTTGAGGTCAATGTTTATCCCTGCATGAATAATTGAATATCTATGTGCTATTTTTATATCACGCTAAGCTCTGATTTTAACACAGAAACTGAAAACATATTGTGTCAGCGAGTTGTAACTTAATATCAACGAGTACTCTTTCAATGTTATAGTTGGAGCAGAAATGGCCGTAAACTGCTAAGTGCCGCCACCGACAACACAGTGTCATTATGGGATGTTTTGTCCGGAGAGGTTGAGAAAACATTCCGGTTTCCGTCCCCTATTCTCAAAGTACAGTTTCACCCTAGAAGCAGGTAGTGTTGTTAATTGTTCTCGCTTTTCCCATTTTGTAAAATTTTGAATACATAATGAAAATGATCTGTGTTTTGAACATTTTAAATATTTTAGTTTATATGAATTTATTTTAGTTTGATTGTGTTGGAAGCTTTATATAACCTTATTGAAACATCCTCTAATCTGTTCCTGGAACCAACCAGTACAATACAATGAATGTAAAGTTTCTTGCTCAAGGAAACAATGACTTGCCCCTGACAGGGTTTGAAACCATGAGGCAATATTTTCATTCTCTTAATATCATTGTAGTATTACTCTGTACTTTGTTCTTAAATAAGATATAAAGATATGAAAAAGTATGATTAGATATGAAATTTGGTATACATTAAATAATTTACGGTTAAAATGATGTTTTTTTGATGTAGAAAGTTATAGAGGACAAAATTTATACTTAATTTTCAAATTTTTCAGTGAGAAGTTTTTGGTATGTCCAATGAAACATGCTGCTGTAAGCATGGATATGGAGGGATCACACAAGCTTGTTCCTTTAGATGAAGATGTAAGTATACTTGTAGTTAAGTTTGAGGATCAAGATAATTTAAAATTTCAAAGAAGTGGGGTATGTCACTTTGTATTTGGTTGGTCGGTTATTACACTAGAGCTTGTTCAACAAATAACTAAAAAGTAAACATTTGGAGGCTGAACATTGCTAGTAGATGACACCCATTGATTTTAAGGTCAATTGGTTGAACTGAGAAAAGCTTGTCAGACCAATACTAAAGGACTTTTTATTATCATTTTGTTTTAGTCTCATCAATGATACATGTATTTGAATATACTTTCTTAGTATGGTTTACATCTTTATAAGATAATTAATAATTTTGTTTCCTCTCTTTTTTCCAACAGTCAGATTTAAATATAATGGCATCCTATGATAGACGAGGGAAATGTATCTATACAGGAAATGCAAAAGGAAGGGTAATAATTTCAAACTACTTGATATAGAATGGCATTTTTTGTATAATTTGTATGCCTGCATGGCTCAAATAGGTAGAGCATCAATTTTGTAATCCAGGGGTTGCTAGTACGATCCTCAGGCAAGGCATAATTTCTCTGTGACAGTTGAACTTGGACGTCGAGTCTAAATATCATTTGTCTCTCAAATCAGTCAACGATGATGAAAAATTCAAATTAATAGTTTGGTTACATGTAGAGAAATTATAAATTACTGGTTAGTTCTCCAGGAAAGCTGGTGAAGATGACTGACTTGAGATATGACCAAAACAATGTGTTTAAAACCAAACAACTTAACTGAACTAAATTGCATATTTTCTCATCAAGGATAACTTGTATAAATTTTACAAGAACTAAATGCTTCCAGTATATAAATTGTCAGTTAACAGTAGAATAAATGGCCAGAATAAAAAACATGTAGATTTCAAAATATGTTCTTAAAATTAGTATACAATATTCAACAAAACAGAATTAAAGAAGAACACTATTGTTGCAAATCAAAATAAGAAGATCTAAACTATACAGTATTTGAAAATTCAGTGTGATGCAAATTTGCATACATGTTTTGTTGGATTTAGGATAAGATTTATTTCAAACCTGATTTAAATACTCCTGGGTTCTATATTAAATAACATTGAAATCTTAAAGAACATTCGGACTATCAAAATTGAAAATTATGCAGACTTAGGTCGATTATACATTGTTACTACAGTGTATGTAATTATGTTACCACAATGTACATCATTATGTTATCATATTTTTTGTTATATTTCCACACTGTACATTACCATGCTGTACATTACCAGCCTGTGCATGTACATCAATATGTAAGCACACTGTATGTTAGGACAAAGCATATAAGAAATGTTATAAATTCTGAATTTGAAATGAAAAAACTGGCCCGTCTGTATTAGAATAACTATACTACTGTAGAAAATCTAGAATTTATTCTGTATATGTCCAGGTTTGTGTATTTACGGAGGATGATCATAAATTAAAGGCTTCATTTAGAGTGACAACTGGGACATTAAATACAACAGCTATTAAATCTATAGAGTTTGCAAGACGTGGCGAGTAAGTTCTTGTTTTGTTTTTATTATTATCCCCCGCCGAAAAGGCGGCAGGGGATATAGAAATAGTCTCCGTCCGTCTGACCTTCCATCCGACATTTTTGTCCGGAGCATATCTCTAAAAGTATTTGAGTTATCAACTTGAAACTTCATAGGTGGATAGACCTCATTGAGGAGGAGTGCAGTGCACAAGAATGATAACTCTACCCTGCATAATTTTTGAGTTATTGCCCTTTGTTATTTTTCAAAATTGATTTTTGTCCAGAGCATAACTCCAAAAGCCTATGAGATATCAACATGAAACTTCATAGGTGCATATATCTCACTCAGGAGGTGTGCAGTGCATAAGAATGATAACTCTACCTTTCATAATTTTTGAGTTATTGCCCTTTGTTATTTTTCATACTTAATTTTTCACCTGAGTGGAGCAAAACTCAAAAAGTTTTTGAGATATCAACATGAAATGTCATAGGTGGATAGATTTTATTGAGGAGGAATGTTGTGTGCAAGAATGGTAACTCTTCCCTATACAATTTTTGAGTTATTGCCCTTGGTATTTTTCATGCTATTTTGTCCAGAGCTTATCTCAAAAAGTATTTGAGGTATCAACTTGAAACTTCATAGGTGGATGGATCTCATTGAGGAGGAGTGCATTGCACAAGAATGATAACTCTACCCTGCATTATTTTTGAGGTATTGCCCTTTGTTATTTTTCAAAATTAATTTTTGTCCAGAGCATAACTCAAAAAGCCTTTGAGATATCAAAAAGAAACTTCATAGGTGCATAGATCTCACTCAGGAGGTGTGCAGTGCACAAGAATGATAACTCTACCTTTCATAATTTTTGAGTTATTGCCCTTTGTTATTTTTCATACCTAATTTTTCACCCGAGTGGAGCATAACTCAAAAGTGTTTGAGATGTCAACATGAAATGTCATAGGTGGATAGATTTTATTGAGGAGGAATGCTGTGCACAAGAATGATAACTCTTCCCTGTACAATGTTTGAGTTATTGCCCTTTGTTCTTTTTCATACTATTTTGTCCGGAGCTTATCTCAAAAAGTATTTGAGGTATCAACTTGAAACTTCATAGGTGGATGAATCTCATTGAGGAAGAGTGCAGTGCACAAGAACGATATCTCTACCCTGCATAATTGTTTAGTTATTGCCCTTTTTTTATTTTTCAAAATTAATTTTTGTCCAGAGCATAACTCAAAAGGCCTTTCAGATATCATTATGAAACTTCATAGGTGCATAGATCTCACTCAGGAGGTGTGCAGTGCACAAGAATGATAACTACCTTTTATAATTTTTGAGTTATTGCCCTTTGTTATTTTTCATACTTAATTTTTCAATTCAATTTTTTTCTCAAAAAGTATTTGAGGTATCAACTTGAAACTTCATAGGTGGATAGATTTTACTGAGGAGGGATGCAGCACACAAGAATGATAACCTACCCTGCACTATTTTTCAGTTATTGCCCTTTGTTATTTTCAGCCATCAGTATTCACATAGGTTTCAAATCTGTAATCACTATAGCCATCAGTTTTCATTACCAAAAGACCTCTTAAAATGGAATTATTCTGCTCTACTACATATACATTCTTCCAATGAGCAAACACATTCGGCGGGGGATGGCCATGTTGACATGGCTCTTGTTTACTTTTTAAATCTGTTCTTGTAGTCACATAACTAGAGGGAAAGGATTATGACATTTTAACATTTAAAGCAACATGCCTCCAGATTCTGACAGTTTTCATGGAAAAAAAAAATTGAAAATGTATTTAAAAGTAAAATATCGTGAAGAGAACAAAGAAAGTAATTTACACATTGCAAATGGCACAGTCTATGTAAATTACCAAAAAGAGGTCAAAATATGCAAAAATAGCCCTTACTGTGTTTGTCATGCAGTAGAAATATGATGATTAAACCACAAAATTGGTCATTAATCCAACATAACATGTTATTTATTACTTGAATCTTGTTACTTTTCCAAAATCTTAGTACATTTTTCTCAAGTATGATTTTCTTGAAATATTTTGGCTCATCTAGAAGTATGTTAATGATTTTATAAATGAAATTTATTCATTGGTTATTATTTCTAAATATGTGTGATAAATCAACCAATACGATGCTTGTTTTTTAGGTGCTCCCATTTTAAAGTTTTAAAAACTGTGTAAGAAATGAGATGAATTAGGAGAGCTGTTGTAATTATCCAGGCATATTTTGGTTAAGTTTTTACAAGCAAGTTAGTATATCTGCAAAACTACTTAAGGGAATGGGTTGAATTTTCAAACAATTATTTGAGAGCATAAAAGGTCACTGTGAGGGGCCCATAACTCAAACATAGATTTTGATAGAATTATTACCCTTTTTGATCATAGAAAATTCTACATTATCCGATCTCTTGTTTTACTGTTAAGCACTGAGAATAGTTGAGCATGCTGTCCTACCGACAGCTCTTGTTAAGTTTATATAGAAACAAAAGCCTTCAGCCAAAGGTCATGGGTCAATTTTACAGAAGGGATTCTAACACAGGCTAAAAGTTAAATATTAACTTGTAAATGCAAGGTCCAAACACCTGCACCCATGTATCACTTGTAAAAGTGCCAAGCTTTCATTTACAAATAATTTTATATAAATTTATAAGATATGATTTTGCTTTTTCTGTACATACAGTTGTTTCCTGGTAAATTCAGCGGATCGTGTAATACGTGTGTATGAAAGTGGAGAGATTCTAGCTTGTGGTAAAGATGGCGAACCAGAACCTATACAAAAATTACAAGATCTTGTTAATAAGTGAGTGTACAATTATTCTGAAATGTTTTATATGATTATATATGATTTTGCAATATGTAATATACATATTCCAGAATTTACTGGTAATAAGTACTTTACTTAATTTTGTACCATGATAGTTGTAGAGAAATATGCTAGAATATGATATCATAAAAAGTGTATCCGGTTCCCCAAGAATGCATGCAAAAAAATAAAGGCAATGCTTTTGATTATTTTCAGGCCAAGTCTTGTCAATTGTATATAAATAAATGTATGATCAAAAACGTTAATTTAAATTTGCCATAGCTTTCGGCCTTCTTCAGCAGCATTTATTATACATACAAATATATCAAAACAAAACAATGGAAGTGACATAACGTCATTGAACAACGCCAGCAGTGACATTGTTTGCCGTCTGCCGCGTTATTCTTTAGTATTAACTCCATATGGTCTATAGGTTCTTAATTTTTTTTATTTAATATATAATATAATCATCATTCTATTTATTTGCATGTCTTATTTCTTTAATAATTTGATATCAGACAAAAACTGTTTTGAAAAACTCCATTTCGAGTTGAGCAATAATACATATATATAAAAACATGTATTAAAGTGACAAGAAATCCCAAAATAGTTTGGACCAAACAAAAGTAAATCTTTGCTGTCCAGTAAAGTGTTTGATATCAAATTTGTCACTAATTAATTGCCATCATCATGGTTGTAGGTTTGAATCCCATCTGGGCACTTGAGGTCTTCCTCCACCAGTAAAGCTGGAAAGTCACCATATGACCTTTACAGTATTGTTGCGACATAAAACTCAACCAAACAAAAAAGGAAAAAAGATAGAACTGAGCACTTAGAAAAAGTGATTAACACTAACATTTGTAAAGATTTTGTAAATATTTCTATATTTCAGGACAATGTGGAAGAAGTGTTGTTTTTCGGGTGATGGAGAATATATAGTTGCAGGTTCAGCTAAACAACATTCTCTGTATATATGGGAGAAAAGTGTCGGTAACTTGGTCAAAATTTTACATGGAACAAAAGGAGAGCTTTTATTAGATGTGGCAGTAAATATCTTTGATTTTTTTATTTTGCCAAACATAACTGCAGAGAAAGTATAGTGTTATAGTCTGCATATAGACATTTTCTTTGTTTATGTTGTTAGTATGTAGTGTAATGTAAAGGGGAGCGGTGGCCTAGGGGTTAAGGTGTCTGCCTCTCAACCCAGAGATCATGGGTTCGAGCCCTATTCGGGTCACAACCATGTTTCTTCATATGACACCAGTACTGGTTAGTTCCAGGAAGCGGACTCGAAAGTGATTAATATAAGTTGCAAGAACTTGTTTCGCAAGCGAGCTAAAATAAATATGTTTAAACCAATGACATGGCTGATATATTTGCAGCAAAGAAAATCTTAAAAGATAATATTGGTTTGAATTGTTGGCCATTATTTTAAGCATGACTGCTGATGTAGTGTAGAGGGCTATATTTAAAGTTGGAAATTAGTTTAAGCATGACTGTTGAAGTTGTGTAAAGTGGTAGATTTGAACTCTGAAATAATTTTTGGCATGGCCACCAATGTTTGACGGCTATGGTTATGTAGAGAGCTATATAGGTTTGAAGTAAGAAATTAGTATAAGAACTACTGCTGAAGTTGTGTAGAGGGCTAGATTTGAATTTGAAAATCATGTTTAAGATGACTGATAATGTGTAGAGGGTTAGATTTAAATTTGGAAATTATTTTTAGCATGACATCAAAGGTTGTGAAGAGTGAATTTAGAATGATTCTTCAATTCTGCCATGAAGCAGTCAACATAAGTGATGAAGGAGAATAAAAAAATCAACTCTTCCAATGATTGAAATTATGCAGTGTAATGCATAGACTCTTAACTTTAATAGTCTCATGACTTTTATTATTGTAAAATCAACAAACTATCATTTTGATTAAAATTTCTTTAACTTAAATTAAGCATTTTTAAAGATTATTTGCTATACAACCATTTCAGCATACTTGTTCTACAAATTTGTATTACAGTGGCATCCAGTACGACCTATCATAGCTTCTATATCAAGTGGTGTGGTATCTGTTTGGGCACAGAATCAAGTTGTAAGTTGTCTCCTTTCATATTGATATTTAATTACCTATTTGTATTGTTTTGTCTACACGTTTGTAAAGTTAATACCACTAATTATGTCTCCCCCACCTCGGGGGGAGACATATTGTTTTTGCCCTGTCCGTCCGTCCGTCCGTCAGTCCGTCCGTCCATTCTTCGTTTCCGGACGATAACTAGAGTTCCTTTTGACCTACAGCTCTCAAACTTCATAGGATGAATGGTCTTATTTAGCAGATGATCCCTATTGTTTTTGGGTTCAGTAGTTCAAAGGTCAAGGTCACAGTGACCGTTGGTCAATTTCTCGTTTCCGGATGATAACTAGAGTTCCTTTTGACCTTTTGCCCTCAAACTTCATAGGATGATTGGTCTTATAGAGCTGATGATCCCTATTGTTTTTGGAGTCAGTAGGTCAAAGGTCAAGGTCACACTGACCGTTGGTCAATGTCTCGTTTCCGGATGATAACTAGAGTTCCTTTAGACCTACAGACCTCAAACTTCATAGGATGATTGGTCTTATTGAGCAGATGATCCCTATTGTTTTTGGGTCAGTAGTTCAAAGGTCAAGGTCACAGTGACCGTTGGTCAATTTCTCGTTTCCGGATGATAACTAGAGTTCCTTTTGACCTACAGCCCTCAAACTTCATAGGATGATTGGTCTTATAGAGCAGATGATCCCTATTGTTTTTGGGGTCAGTAGGTCAAAGGTCAAGGTCACAGTGACCGTTGGTCAATTTCTCATTTCCGGATGATAACTAGAGTTCCTTTTGACCTACAACCCTCAAACTGGGGGGAGACATATTCAAAATTGAATACCTGGTTAAAAACAAACAGTTTAGGAAGCATCTTCTCATACAACCTTAACAATAGAAACCATCCATAGACAGCCTTCATTGAAGTGACTACCGGGTATTTACATTATCTTATCTCCATTTCCATTCCTGTTTCCATTCACAGTTATTCTCAGCAGTGGGGGAGACATGCGCTTTTTTACAAAAGCATCCTCTAGTTCCAATTTGTTTGTCCTTCACTGCTTCAGACTTGAATGCCTCATTCTTGCATATCCGTGAGATCACCCATGCCGGAAACTTCATCTGGCATGAGTTGCGTGCCAAACAACAACGTCATTTTAGCGCACTTTATGAATGAACCGCATTAAAATGACGTTGTTTTAGAAGGGAAATATGTGCTTAGGATGACGTCATTTCGCCGTTGTTATTTAAGTTGTAAGTTCATACGCTATTGGATGAAATGACTTTAATTTCCATGAACACGTATCATATTGAGGTAAACCATTTTAAATATGAAAAAATATGGCAGAATATGCAAGAAAAAATATCTGACATATGTTTGCAGTTTGGATCGGAATATCCGTCCCTCGGGAACTCGCCCATGGGCAGGTCCTTTCGGGACAGATATTCCGGTCCGAACCGCAACATATGACAGATATTATTAATCTGGCAGCATGGCCAAGTGGTAAATGCAATCGACTTAAAATCTGAGGGGCAAGCTGCTGTTTATTTGGGCAAGAAACTTTACACTCGTTGCTCAGTACTGGATTGTTCCATGAACAGATTCAAGAGTGTATCTATTAGCTTATAGATTCATACATAGTTAAACTAAGGCAAATTCTGTATAACCTAATGTCTCCATGACATACCCCATATGTAGAACAAGCCCATATATCATAGAGAAGGTTCATGAAAATACGGCTCTACAAGTTATGTTCATGTATATAGATGCTCATTAAATGCTTGAAATGGTACATTTATAGCAGGTAAGGTCTTCCACCATCAGAATCTATTTCCAGAGAAATATTTTTTTTTGTTAAACAAGCACACCATGTTTTTTGCGAATATTTCATATAATTGCTAAATGGTTGAATAAAAATCTCTTTAATGTATTTAATACGTTATAAAACATTATTATTTATACTGATTTTATGGATTGTATGGTTATAGGAAAACTGGAGTGCTTTTGCACCAGATTTCAAAGAACTTGATGAAAATGTAGAATATGATGAGAGAGAATCTGAATTTGATATCGAAGAAGAAGGCAAAGAGAAAGAAGATTTTAAAGGTAGGTTTACCTTCGTGTTACTGCTAGTAGTGATTATGACTGGCCTAGGACTGTATATTTAGAAGCTTTTATGAAAATCAGTGTTGGCTTATGAGTACTTCTGAACTGCATTTAGAAAATCTGCCTATTAAAAGATAAAGAACAAGATTAAGTTGACTGTAATTACTATCCATAAATGTAGAAAGAGCTGTAGTAGGGTCTTCTGGTAAGTCTGTTTCCACTGTTGCCCTCTCTATAAATCCTATCCTTAAAAGATTTTACTTGAGCGAGAAACTTCACAATTATTGCTCAGTACTGGTAGGTTGCAGGAACAGATTTGAGAATGTGTCTATAAGCTTATAGCTGGCTACACATTTTTTAGGCACATAATCTAGTAGAAATTGTAAAAAGATGTGATGTGTGTAAATAAATTGAGTGGTTTTAAAGGGTATAAATCTATATCTTATGAAATATTATAATAAAATTTTCAACCGTAAAATTATATTGATTCCATAAATTATATTGTTGATTCCTGAAAAAGTTGTAACATAGAATGTCTCTATTATATAATACATATGAATGATGTACATAAACAGAATAAAATGTTCTGGAACAAAATATTATTTTGCTATCTTAAGTAGGGTTTTATCCATTTAGCAATGATTTTGTGCATGCACCATTTGCCTTTAACTTAAGGCAATAAATTACCAATTATTATTTGATACAATCATTTTGGGAGTATTTTCTTTTAAAATTCAAACAATAATTTTTGCATCAGATATATTGCTTTATACATTTTAATTAATGTTGAAGTTGTTTGCATGTTCATTGTCTAAAGTCCAATTTGAGTGAAGTTTTCTGGGACCATTGTAGTGCTTTTCAGAACATAAAAAGATATAAAACAGAACCAGAATATATTAAATATATTGGATGGGTTGTGGGTCCATTCTGAGAAAGTTGTATCTCATTACAAACATAATGCAAACAATAAAACTTGTATCATTCATATCACTTCAGATAAAAATAATGAATAAAATAAAGATCTGAATAAAGGCTGACGGTTGCAGTATTTTTTTTTCACAGCTAAGTTGTTGTAATGGCAGTGTGTCGTCTTCTGTCGTTTGATGTATATCCATAATTTCTTTAAATAACATCTTTAATATCACAGACATATTGATCTATATTATTACATGATTTGTACATGTATACTACAGAGGAGGAAGAAGATGTTGAGGTTGATGTTACCACAGTTAATGCAATACAGGCATTTGTTAGCAGGTATATTTATAACAATAACAATTAACCATGGTGAATGTAACACAGATCTAACATCTTCTTTGAAAGCACCTCATTCAATGGGTTTTGTAAACCATTACATGTTGAAGTGTTGATATATTACACCTCAATGAATTCAATTTTGCATTATGGATCCAGGTTTTCTGTTGTATCCTTAAAGATTCACAAAACTTCATTTCTCAAAACCTTTTTATATCATTTTTAGTTTACTTATACATTAACTGAAAAAGTACTCATTGGCTATATAGCTTATTTTGCAAGTAGTTTAGGAATTTTGTAAGGAAGTCAAGTCAAAAGTACAACTTTTCTTTACATTTTGCTACCTTTATGATAAAATTTATTATGACAAATTAATTCGTATTCAGCACTACAAACTTCTGGTAATAAAGCATTTGATATGCTTTAAATCCATTAACATTAACAAACACTTGCCCGCTTTCTAAAGAAGACGAAAAAAGATTTCTTTGGCATAATGTGTCTTTAACATGTAACTACTGTTAGTCAAATGTATATTGGTTGTAATGTTGATACTTGTTGTATGGTAAACACTTATCATCAAGAAGACTTGTCAGATACTTAAAAGAAAAACAAGTAAGCATTTGTGCAAAGGTTAAAAAACACTAAATATGTCTTGTTCAATAACTTTTTTATTGGTGATATTACTGAAAGTTTTGTACCTGCTTAATCTTGATTTAATAAGAGAAATGAGCCGTGTCATGACAAAACCAACATAATGGGTTTGCGACCAGCATGGATTCAGACCAGCCTGCGCATCCGCGCAGTCTGATCAGGATCCATGCTGTTTCCTATAAGTTTCTCTACTTGTAATAGAGATGGTAAGCGAATAGCATGGATCCTGATCAGACTGCTCGGATGCGCAGGCTGGTCTGGATCCATGCAGGTCTCAAATGCACTATGTTTCGTTTTGTCATGACGCGGCTCAAATATAAACAAAGAATTTACTATGATTATAGTGATGAGGAAGAAGAAGATACAGAAGCTTTGATGTATTTACCTGTTGCCCCGGAGATAGAAGAACCCGAGGAAGGCTGGCCTGTTGTATCAGAAATGGTATTGTGTTTTATATATTGTTAGCTCAACAATTCAAAGAATAGGGAGAACTTTTGGTCTCACCCAGGCGTTGATGTCAGCATTGTCATTTCACTTTGCTTAAGTTTTTTGCGTGTATATAAGCATCTCAAAAACTAGAGAAGGGAATGGATTAAAACTTCACACACTTTTTTTAGAGCAAAGTAGAAGGTCACTGTACAAAGCCTATTACTCTGACCTTACTCTGACCTAGATATTGACAGAATGATAGAACATTTTGCAAATTCTAAATTATCTTGGCTCTATTTTTACCATCAAGCACTGGGAATAGTCAAGCAAACTTTCGTTGAGAGGCAGGCACCTTAACCACTTGGCCACCGCTTCCCTTGGGAAAATTTAGTTGTTTTTCCCCCTACATAAATAGTTTTCTAAAGTGGTCATGGGTTCAGGTTTATTACACATCTAATGTTGGTGAGTGGTAGTCACTGACAGAACTAGGGGGCGTGGACGGTAGTTTGCACTTGACAGTACCGTCCATGAACAGACTCAATCAAACCGAGTCTGCAACATTATCAATTGTGACGTGTTGGGCTTTCTTTAGGGATTCTTATTTTCTCTATTTTGCTGATTTAATGTTAAATTTTGACCTGATGAGCAATAACTTGCTTAATGTTTGACATCATTTGACCCACAAGTTTGAAACTAGCAGATATTGATGTATAAACATATTGACAATGACTGTTGTCAAGGATATGATAAACTCCTTGTAGTTAAAAATTATACATTTAGATAGTCTCAGTTATAATTTCGTCTTGAATGACAGCAACTTAATGCCTTTCATATTTATTACTATTACAAACTATGAAAAATATACAAGCATGATATTTATATCAGTTTGAATTATATTTTGCTCTGTCAACATGTAAAGCAGAATGGGCAGAGTTAATTGCATAGCAATTAACATTTATACTGCAATGGCTGAACATTAAATAACATGGTTTAGCAACTTGATCATTTGGTTTTCATAGCTTGTTCTGACAGCATTTTTATTGGTTGTCAAAAGAAATTAAATACAACAACTTTCTCTGTCTTATAAGGAAAATATAATAATGCTTATTTATGGTATATTATATTCAGATCATGTTATCTACATATATATTACAGCCCCAGCATACAGAGGAATCTCAGACCAGACCTGAGAAGAGAAAAAATAGTCAACAAACACCTGACTCTACTAAAAAATCAAAGTTAAAACCATTTGATGTTGACCTTGAAAATGCCCCCTCAGATGGTAATGTTATTTAATATTTCCAAAATTTTTTTTAGCAGGTTTATGTATTATTTTGGTAAGTTTTATTACATTTTTAAGGTACACAATTAAAGGAGCTCCACTGAGTTCAGAAACATAAAATTTGATTATTTTACAAAGATAAAGAGAAGCACTTACAATAGAAAATCTGCAATGGATGAAAGAAATATACACAAAATAAAATTGAAAATTCATAATTAGTGCAATTCCTAGCCTGATTTGGGTCAAAATTATTGCGAAGCTTTTCAATTTTTGGTCATTTTTATCAACGAAAATGATTATTCTTGAAAAAAGGTAAGTACTAGTAAATGGTTTGAAAATTGGCACAAAAGTTGTTAGTTCAAGCCTAATGGTTCACAAAGTTTGGAAAACTATTTCCATACCTGTCATGTCAAAAAACGTTAGTGTAGTTCTTAAAACTTGAAAGATTTACTGTCAATGGCATCAAAAAGTTTTACTTATTTAATCTTTTACCATACTTTAGAACTTGAAGTGGTATGAAAACAGTCATAGTTTCGCAATAATATCAAACAAAACCAAAGAAAAAAAGTAAATCTCATAAAAATTGTGTTTATAACTGTCACATGATCTCAGATATTGAGTGTAGTAGTCGTTTGACTTTCACCACTGATTCAGAAATCATGTAGTTGGTCACTTGTGGAGAGATTTATAATTACTTATTTGTTATCATGAAAAACTAATTAGATGAACTCACTGCCGAGGTATGACCTCACATATTGCTTGCTAGCTTCACTGAAAGCTTCACTGAAACAGTTAAGAAACAGTTATAGTATTGGTCAAAGCTGTAACTCACAATGAAATTAATGGTACATATGACTACCACCAGAAATATTTTACTTAAACTTCACGAAAATAGTCGGGAAATTTTCTATTTAGATTTTATGCAGATGTTTACTGCCGAAAGGAAATATGGCCCATGAAATGTTGTTTTTAGATATCCATATTATTTTAGGAGTTATTTCCCTTGTATTGATTACTATACTTAATAAAATCCATCTACAGGCATTCCATGAAATTATGTTGATAGATTGAAGTAAAGCCTTCAAAAAATGAATATCTATGTAGATATTGCAATGATGAATAAGATTTTTACCTGAATGTTGGTTTTGTTATAAGTGGGAAGATCAATGAATCAAATTTGTGACTAAAAATAAAATGATCTTGTATATATTTCAGAAATACATCCTTTATTAAATGTGAAGAAACCAAATGAGAAAGTTCATAAGAAACCAGGCACAAAAACGAAACAGAAATCTGGCAAATCTGACAGATCCAAACATAAAGGTAAAAATTAAAAATTAATTACAGACATTTTTTTTTAGCTCACCTGTCACAAAGTGACATGGTGAGCTTTTGTGATCTCTTTTCGTCCGGCGTCCTTCTGTCCGTACGTCCGTCCGTAAACTTTTACTTTAAACGACATCTCCTCATAAACAACTTAGATAATTTCATCCAAACTTCACAGGAATGTTCCTTTGGTAGTCAACTTTAAAAATTGTTCAAAGAATTTAATTTCAAGCAGAACTCTGGTTGCCATGGCAACCGAAAGAATAAAACTTAAAATATCTTCTTTGAGAAAACCGCAAGAGCTAGAGCTATAATATTTGGCATGAAACATCACCTAGACAGTGTCTACCAAGTTTGTTCAAATAAATGCCCTGATGTCAAAATTTGCCCCGCCCTGGGAGGGTCATTGATTTTCCTTATATGTAAAAACTTAAAAATCTTCTTTTAAAACCCCCAAATAGCTAGAGCTTAAGTATTAAGCATGAAACATCTTCTAGTGGGTGTCTACCAAGTTTGTTCAAATAAATGCCCTGGGGTTAAAATTGGCCCAGCCCTGGGGGGTCATTGATTTTCCTATACGTATATAGTAAAATCTTAAAAATTTTCTTTTAAAAACCCAAAAGAGTTAGAGCTTAGATATTTATCATGAAACATCTTCTAATGGCTGTCTACCAAGTTTGTTCAAATAAAAGTCCCTGGTTTAAAATTGGCATTGGGGGCCTATATACAGGGGCCTATATACAGGTGAGCGATTTCAGGGCCGTCATGGCTCTCTTGTTGTTTTTTTGTGAATGTTTTTTTGGTTTTTTTTTCTGTATATACATGTATTTATTATGCCTTGTTGATGATTATTTCTTTGCACATTTCAATATGTATGACAAGACATCGTCAAATGAATGAATAACGCTTTTGCTTACATTCCAAAATTTATGAGACATGACCTGTAAATGACCAAAAACTGGGTCAAAGGTCAAAGTTATTGTGGTCCGTAATAATCTTATCTTGATGGTAGCTAAGGAATGCTTTGGCTGACAAGTCATCGGACTTGATGGGCAGGTTGTTCATGACCTTAAGATGACCCCAAATGATTTTAAGGTCAGCAGGTCAAAGGTCAAGTGATCTTACTACAAAAACTGACATACAGTCTTCAGGTGTGGAAGGGTTGATGTAAATGTTACTAAATGGTTGCCAGTGGGAGGCATACATTTTTCATTAAACATCCTTTGATTATGTTTGCTACTTTAGTTTCAGTAGCTGATCTGCTAAACAATGTGAATGTGAATCTATATTTTTTTTATCAATAATTAAAAATTCAATTATAATATTTAAATGAGGATATATTTTTGAAATATTTCAGGAGATTGATACAACAATTAAGATAGCCAGGAAGGATTTATAAAAACTGAATGTCAGTGATGTACACAAAAATGCCAGCGAAACAAATACTGAAGAGAGTTTGACTCTATGAACTATCACATAATATTAGTCATTTACTTGCTGTTTTTTGTGTAATGGATTGACCCAGATTTGGATTTGGAACAGTTCATTCATAGTATAAGGGATATCAGTATGAAAGTACAAAATTAGAGCAGAATCAACAGTATAGAGGGCCTGGTTAGACCACATGGATTTACAGGCCGGCCTGGCTCTATACTGCATTAGCAATTCAGCTCCGGCAGGTTAAGGATTAATATATTTAATTAAGTGTTGGATTGCGCAAAGAAATACTAAGACACATGTAACGTGATGTATTTTAAACTGAAAAGTAATAAGATACAGAATTATGTCAGTGATGTGTTGCATATGCAGTTATTTCTGTTTTATAGATAAAATAATTTGTCTACATGATGATATAACTATTTTAAGTTTAATTTGAATTATGATTGTCTTAATACCTTAAAAGTGTTCATGTTGATGCCATTATTGTGTCGCCTTGAAAAGGTGACATATAGGGGTTACTTTTGTGACATATAGGGGTTACTTTTGTCGGCGGTGTCAGTCGGCGGTGTCGGCGGCGTCTGTGTCGGCGTCGTTGTCGGCGTCGGCGTCCGCTAAAGCTTGTCCGGAGCATAACTCAGTCACTATAAGTCTGATTGACTTCAAACTTGGTATGCATGCTTCTTTCAATAACCCGAAGTGCAGTGCACAAGGACCGGTACTCTGCAGTTCTTATTTTTTGAGTTATTGCCCTTTGTTAATTTTCATACTTTAATTTTGTCCGGGCCATTTCTCTTCAACTAAAAAAGCTATGGACTTGAAACTTCATAGGATGATAGATCTCATTAAGAAGAAATGCAGTGCACAAGGACCAGTACTCTGCACTTCCTAATTTTTGAGTTATTGCCCTTTGTTAATTTTCATACTTTATTTTTGTCCAGGCCATTTCTCCTAATGTATAAAAGCCATGGACTTAAAACTTCATAGGATGATAGGTCTCATTAAGAAGAAGTGCAGTACACAAGAACTGGTACTCTGCATTTCTTATTTTTTGAGTTATTGCCCTTTGTTTATTTTCATACTTAATTTTTGTCCAGGCCATTTCTCTGAAAGTATAAAAATTATGGACTTGAAACTTCATAGGATGATAGATCTCAGAAAAAAGAAGTGCAGTGCATAAGAACTGATACTCAGCATTTCTTATTTTTGAGTTATTGCCCTTTGTTGCTTTTCTTACTTTATTTTTGTCCTGGTCATTTTTCCTCAAGTATGAAAGCTATGGACTTGAAACATCATAGAATGATAGATCTTATTGATAAGAAGTGCAGTGTACAGAAACTGCTGCTCTGCACTTATTATTTTTTTAGTTATTGCCCTTTGTTATTTTTCATATTTCATTTTTGTCCTGGCCATTTCCCCTAAACTACATTGTTCACAAGGCGACACATCCGACTCGCGGAGTTCTAGTATATTCTGCAGATTACTATCATTACTCATGTAACAGTCTTAACTTACATACATATAGTTACAGTGATTTTTATGACCAAATTTGGGGCAAACATTCGGCCCCATTACCCTCCTCGAAATAGTATATAACTTCCCTATTTCTGAAAAAAAATAATCTCCACCATTTTTTGAAAATATATCCATTCTATCAGTAAGTACCTGTCTTAGATTTGCTAGTATTATTTTATGCAAGCATTTTTGTGCCCCCACTTTAGTTGACGGGCATTTAGATTTACCCTTGTCCATCCGTCCGTCCGCACTCACAGGAGAGTAATTATGTGGCTAGGACAATAGGTAACTGTTCTTTCTCTTTGATGTCATTAATTCCGTAATGCTTTTATGTGGCTATTTTCTTTTGTGTGGCTAAAAAGAACAATATAGAGAACAATAGAGTAGCCACATAATTACTCTCCTGTTAGAACGTCCGTCCTTCCATCCGTCCGCACTCACAGAACAGTAATTATGTGGCTAGAGGGACAATAGGTAACTGTTCTTTCTCTTTGATGTCATTCATTCCGTAATGCTTTTATGTGGCTATTTTCTTTTGTGTGGCTAAAAAGAACAATAGAGAGAACAACAAAGTAGCCACATTATTACTCTCCTGTTAGAACGTCCGTCCTTCCGTCCGTCCGTCCATTCACTTTTGTGTCGCATGTAACTCAAAAAGTATTTGACCTAGAGTCATGAAACTTTACAGGAATGTTGATCAGCATGTGTAGTTGTGCACCTGGGTATTTTCGTCTGGATATTTTTAGTATTTTCAGAGTTATTGCCCTTGACTTAGTAAAATTTTGCAATTTTCAACTTGTGTCGCATGTAACTCAAAAAGTATTTGACCTAGAGTCATGAAACTTTACAGGAATGTTGATCAGCATGTGTTGTTGTGCACCTGGGTATTTTCGTCTGGATATTTTTAGTATTTTCAGAGTTATTGCCCTTGACTTAGTAAAATTTTGCAATTTTCAACTTGTGTCGCATGTAACTCAAAAAGTATTTGACCTAGAGTCATGTAACTTTACAGGAATATTGATCAGCATGTGCTGTTGTGCACCAGGTATTTTTGTCTGGATTTATTTAGTATTTATAGAGTTATTGCCCTTCACTTAGAAAATTTTTGCAATTTTCAACTTGTGCCGCAAGTTACTCAAAAGGATTTGACATAGTCATTAAACCTTATGGGCAGGTTGCTCAGCATATTTAGATTTGCACCTGGGGTTTCGCTTGTGGATTTATCCAGTATTTGTAGAGTTATTTCCCTTGACTTAGTAAAAAGATTGACAGAACAGTGGAGCGGTGGGGGCACCCGTGTCCTATGGACAGATTTCTAGTATAATATATTTTAAATGTTTTTGTTGAATCTGGAGGCATGTTGTGTAAAGAAAAAGATTTTTTAATGAATCTCTTATAATTGATGACAAATGTATCTTTGCACTATGAGAAGGATTCAGATTTTTTTTAAAATATTTTATGTTCAATATATTGATACATACAAAATCATATGCTCATCCATCTAAATATCTGTAATTCATGTGAGTAAAATTGGAACTTTTATTGTTAATTAACTTTTAGCCTGCTTTACACAACTAATTCTATCAATTTGACTAATGAAGAGCAAAATCGGTCGGTACAGATAGGTACATCTGTAACATTTGATTGTGCCAGTATAGGCCCCCTATATTTTGAAATTTTTCCCGAAATTGATGAATGTTTTTGTCCAGATTCAAATACAATGTATGGACAAGTCCTAGATATTAAGCTTGGTATTGGGTTAAAGAATTTTGATACCAAAATACTAAATTTTGGCAACTAGTAGTATAAAGTTTATATAAAGGCTATACAGACTTGAAGTGTAGTGTATAACTCTCTCATTACTGATAAATGCAAGGTAATTTTGCCAGAAGTTTTATAAGCTATGAAATTTTATTGCAATAGCATTTATGCATACATTGTAGTTTCATTTATCAAGGCATGCAATTTATGTAAAATTAGATAAATTTACAAATGCATGAAATTCTTGTAACATTAGATTGATTTATAAATGCATGAAGTTCATGTAAAATTATATTTACAGTTAAAGATTAGAAAAATATCAATTTAAATGTGTTAATGATGACATAAAGTTGCTAGTTTAACTTCATATCTTCTGTTATATTTGTTTGCTGATATATTCTAAGTACTTACATTTATTTCCTGGTGTTTGAGAGACATGTATTGTAAAGTACGTACCTTATATAATGGTTAGAATTTTCTGCATTTTTCTATTATTTACATTAAAAGACACCCCTTGCGTATAATGTTGTTAGGCAAAGGCTAAAGTCATTTTAACATCACAGTTTGCATGCTTTTTTCTAGCTGTGTCAAAACAACATGAATATGGCATCAATATGTGGCATCTTTTTGTCTTAATGTTGTTTTTTTTCTGTATAAGAAATTCATGCATCATTTCATTGTACCATGTTCATTCTAATAAGGAATTACCATCCTTATCATAAATCTTTGATTTTGATATTTTTTGGGATAAATTTTGCAATCATAAATGTATATTTTCTGATATACATAAACTGTCATCATAAATTATGTCTATTTATTGGAGTTATTTTGTAGGTTGTTAATTGAATTTTAAGGGTCATTATTATCATTAATCAAGTATTTTTTGTCCAAAATCTTTCATTTATTGATTGTATTTGTTGTTGAAATAAATGACAACTGATTTATAGCTCTTGTTGTTTTATCTGTTTATATTGTTTTCAAGTGACAATAAGCAGAATGTAAGCTTTTTTGTGGCCTATGCCATCTACTTGCTTCTACCTCTAAATAATGGGATGACACTATCAGTCTTGTTAATGCTTTTCTAAATTTAGTAATTTTAACAATGTCTAAATATGGCTGATATGTAAAACATGAAAAAAGTTTATATGTCCTGGCTCTTGACGAATTTTCTAATTGAGCGTTCCATAGTTGTAAAAAATTATCATACAGTCTTTGCTTAAATACGTCTATAAAAATATTTTTGTTTCCAACTCCTTGGAATAGCCACACATGACTAAAACCTAATGAGTCTAGTAAAAGTTTAATATTATATACCCATGAAATCTTATTAGGATACATTTCTAAGTCTCTTAACATCATATCGTATACATGTCTTATATATTTTGTGCATTCGCATTCTAATAAATTTAAACCAGTATCTTACTATACATATTAGCCTATTAGAAAGTAAACTTGATCGACCTAATTCTCCATAGATAAAATTATTCTGGGTTTGGGCACGTACTCCTAAAAGTTGTTTACAATATTGTAAATGTATTCTTTCTATAACATTTGTTTCTTTGAATCCCCATATTTCACATCCATAGTTTAAAATAGGAACAACTAACTTATCAAATAGTTCTAAGGAGCGCTTAACATCAATATTAGTGAATTTAACTAAATAAGACTTGAGTTTGTATATTGCCTTCTACGCCTGGCCTGCTAATGCCTCTTGCGTTGCTCTAAAAGAACCACCTGTGGTAAATGTAATACCTAAATACGAAAATGTTTTAACAATGTCTACAGTGTGACCATTATATGTGAAGTTCATATTTCTTCTGTTTGTGCCGCCTTTTCTAAATACAATTACCTTTGTTTTGTCAACATTAACTGTTTGTTAGTTTCCATTTCATACAATAGTCAAATAACAGATCTAAACCTTTTTGTAAACTAATTTCGGTTTCAGCAAAAATCACAATATCATCAGCATATAGCAAAAGGAAAAGTTTGAACATATCTAAGTTATATATATATGATACATGTATTTTGACTTTTCTGCCATGTCTTAAGATGTTGCTCTCTTCAGAAATTCAGAATTATTTTACTACCTGTATAAAAAAAGTACCAGTCGTGCAAACCAATGGACTTAACAGAATTGAGGTAAATTTTATGGATTGTCACATTATAAAATATTCCTGGCTTTTCTGTTTATTATTTAAAATGTAC